TTACAATTTCCTTCCATAAGAAATAACTTGATTCATGTCTAAGAAGGGTCTCAAAACTGACTCTCTTACTTCAGAAACAAATACTCACAATTTGGTTATTCAGGGCAAGGAACCCCTTCCGACCATAAAAGCTCTGCCTTTCATTGTCCCGGGGGAGATTGGAGAGCCTCACTAGGAAACCATCCATTACACCCAGGACACGGGGCATGCCCAACTGATCATTCCTGAAATCAAATAGCTTCTTGCAATACACATCACCATCACACCAACTAATTATTATCCGAGAAAGTCACATACCTCTGTATCACTTCGAGTCGTTCCTGTTGAGTCACAGGGAACTTGATGAAGTTGCTCAAAACTTCCGGATGGTTTAGAGCTGTTGTTATTTCTCTAACACATCGACTTACTGTGGTCTGACACACAGCGGCATCAATGGACCTTCCTAGCATCCTCTGGTACGACCCACATGCATAAAATGATAAAGCAATCAAAAGCTGCAAAGGGAATAGTATACATTAAAAAAGGAACAGAGAGCCAACGAAGCAAATTAGTAGTCCACAAACCTTTCTAAATAACGGAGTTTGATGAGGGCTGGAGCGTTGAGGCACATAATGTCTTAAAATATTGCACAAGTCCACTGCATCATGCTGTGGGATTCGATACAATTTTACAAACTCAGTTATGCTCATATCAAGAGGGTTATTGTTATCTCTAATTCGGAAACGTTCATGTATCTGATGATTGACTCGTAGGCGGTGCTCTGTAGCAGCATCATGAGGCCTGTCTTCAAAATAGTTGAAATCTGCAAGTAAAATAAGAGTGTAAGCAACAGAACAATCATATAGGTTATGGCAAGAACTGTACGAAATTTAACAGAAAACCATAGTTGGGAAAAAGGGCAACAGCCCATCCAACACTCAATGCAAAAGAACACAGTTAATAGTTACCCATAACTCTAGTATAAATACAAGACAACAGCTGTATACTAAGAGAAACACAGAACAGAGGCACAAACATGTACCATTCCGAAATTTTCCAAACAAGACCATGCCAAGACTCTAGAAGATAATAAACTACTGACTATAATTCTCATACCGGCAATGACCAGTGTATTTCCCATCATGCCCGTCGCGCGACATTTAAATTGAAATAGCCACTTTTGAAACTCTCAAGACCCAGCCAGGAACCGGTACATCACAAGTAAATTGATAACTGAGTGTGTTGTGGGGGTTGTGGGTCGAGACTTCTGAACTGACAACAGAAATGGGTAGACCACACTAATCGAAAGGTATCTTTGAAAATAGTTAAGAAATTCATGGGAAGAAAGGGAATATACCAAAAAGCCAGAAGCATGAAACTTCTACAAGTTAGCAAGGAAGATTAAATAAAAAGAGATGTTGACTTTAAATAACTGATGTAGATAGTAGGGATTTTTCCAAGTAACAGGCTAAGATATGAATCACTAGGGATGTGAAATCCCTTTTTATTAAACTGACAAAATAAAACCACAGGTAACAATCACTACAAATGAAACATAAAAAATAACTGAGTTTGCATGAAAGTACCATATATTAAAAAAATTAGCCTAACTCGATGGTTGCAGAAAAAATAAAAGTCTGACTTGGACAAAAACTACTAAAGACAAACATTTAAACAATGTTTCGCAATGACAACCAGAGACAAGCAACAAGATAAAACAAAGTCACTCCAAAAACAAAATATAGTGGTACTGCCAGAGTCCAACAAGCGGTCAAAAGAAGTCAGATAAAACAAAACAGAACTTATAAAATTGGCAAACATTTTATAGCAAAAAAAGTCAATCTACATTCAGAGAGCGGAGTACTCTAGCCACATTCTCCATGACTTCAGTATTTTGAAGTAGAAGCACTCTCAGGTACTGTACTTCTGAAGACACAGTCTCATCTGCAAAGCACAAACATACATTCAAGATCAGTAAAGTGAGTCAACCAGACCTGCAGGTCGATACAGTCATTGCAACGGCATATCTGGTTTGTCCCCAAAATATCGTAGAAGTATGTGATCCAAAAGCTCTTGTACCAAATGGTGCAAAGGGCTTCTTGAGTTTGGAAACTACAATCAGCACAACTGACTTACTTACTTACTTGGCTTAGGTACAGCTAATGCCAACCGCCTCTTGCAGGTTGGTGTGAGTCCACTATCACCCGGGGGTGTATGGAATGCCTTATTCATAATGCGCTTCTGGTTAACAGGAGTCTGAAATTAAAAACGGAAGGCAGTATAATATAAACAAACCTACTACCAACACAAAAAATTATTTTGTCCACACACATAAAACAAAACTTACGTCATCCAATGTAATACAGTCTACTGACAAGTCCCCAAGATTCATTGCCTGGAAAGCAACACCAACAGTGATGAAAACAAATGACTACAAACCAACGGAACCGTGGTGGCTTTTGAAATTTTAAGTACCTTTAATCCACTTGGGCCAGCGGCGGCTTGGTCATTCTGCTCATTCGAGCTGCTGCTGCTGCTGCTGCTAATGACGTTGGCTTTGGCCCTGGGCTGCATCAACTAACAAAGATAGCAAAGTTACACACAGGAAATAATTATTTACATACAACACATACAACTGAAGGATCTAATTACAAACCTTGGGCTTGGGTGGGTCCTCATCACTGCTGAACTCGGGAACTTTAAGATCGAGTTCAGGCACCCCAAGCAAGACATCATGTGGCTTGACTTCCGAGTCATCCTCATCAGAACTGATAATAAGTATGGCTTGGGATTGGGCCTGCTCATCACGTATCTATTAACAAAGGTGGTAACATTTACACACAGAAAAATACGATTAAGAAACATTCACATACAACTAATTGATGTATCTACAAACCTTGGGTGGGTCCTCGTCATCATAGTTCAACTTGGAAGGAACTTCAACAAGGTTTCCATCCGGAAGTAGTTCATACTCCCCGAGATGGGCTGCACCATCAAAGATAGGTTCAACATTGGGGGCAGCATCGACAATTGGTGGAGTGTCTACTGCTGCTGCTGCAGCATTGGCCTGGGGAGGCTGAGGGATCGCTACAACCTGAGGCACCACGTCAGCCCCATGAACCATGAACTGGGCCAGCAGGACATCAGCATTAGGTATTACTTGGGCTGGGGCAGCCTGCTCTATTTCCTGACCATTTCTTTGGGCTGCATTACGACGCTGTAGTTGAATCTGAGGTTCAATTTCAGAATAACTATCAGCTACACAAGAAATAATGTAGATTATTTATAGAGGACTTATAAAATTGTCACTTACCATCAGTGGGTCAGGACATTTTGTCCCCACCGCCGCAGTCATTCCTGTCAGGCTGATGACTCTTTTGTAGAGGTCACTTAACCCCAATCCATTAATGTCCATGTCTATGCCGCCCCCTGTGCCCCTCCTGTAAGATGCCAGTTCTCGGCAGCTCCGACGAGCTCTGCTGCGAAGGCTGATGAAAGCCTGCAACAAAAATAATGTGAGTTGGGAAAAACAACAGGAACGACAAACAAAGTATGAGACCAGTAAAAGAATACCGCTTTCCACTGCTCGCCATTTTTGGTGGTTGTGCCGCCTGGCACAGCATTCAGCACAATGGAGATATCTTGCCATTTCCCTTGAGTTCTCACAACGCCACCAGGAGCAAGAAATTCGCCGTGTAGTAGCTCCTTGTCTGAGGCAACTAAGTCTAGAAGAGTATCCCACTGCTCTTGAGATGGACGCGCTAAACACAAAACAATAAACAAGATACCACAGAATTAAGACCCCTTCTTCAAAATTTCTGAACGGAAAAAGCAATCCAGAATATCAGGTAAATTCATATGAACATGGGGAATGACAAGGCCATAACCAAAAGAAAATCAGTTCGAAGTTGCGCGCTTTTAGATTTCAAACGGGAACATGAAGAACTGAGAACAGTGAGTTGCATTATTATAAGTTTACACAATTCATAGGAAAGGGAGCAAGAAGTTCAAGTTGAGAGGAGCGAGGAAGGGCGATCCCACAGATGAGGTTAAGCGCATTACGGACGTTCCGATATTCAACGGACGCTCAACAAAAAAACACTCATTTTCACAAAGTCGAAATCGTTTCCTTGTTATTTAACACACGAAGTGCGAAGAAATCGCCTCTGAGAGCTTCAACGCATTGCATGACGTATCAACCTGTAGATCCCCGTGAAATTAACTCAAATAACCCACGACATTTGAGAACTACCGATTTTCGACAGTTCAAACGGAAAGCATCAAAGAGGAACTACGTGAATCCGACAATTGTTTGACTTACCCATTGTGAAACTGCTTGCTGTGAAACTGGAGCTAGATTTCACTGACTGCAGCCGTTCAGAAACTGAGCCCGATTTGACGGTGACGGTCAGTCTCGCTGTTTTGTCTTTTCGCCGTCGCCGGAAAAGACAAACGAAAGTCGCGCAGTTCGAAGCGCAGCCACAGTTCCAAACGGCGCGCTACGGTCGCGACCGGTCGTCCGAGCCCGACCAGTACACGCACCGACAGCGGCGCGCCGACCCGCGCGAGCCTCAGCGCGGGCCCTCTTGCACCCTACCCCTCGTCTGAGCGATCTCCGGAATCGCACGGCTGTAGTGGGTAACT